TTGAAATCGTTTGTGTTAGCCGAGTATGTATTAACAAACAGCCATTATAAACCTTTTATGCTTGTTTATGTGTTTTGTTCTAACACATTTACGTAATACTCATGACATTAAGTGTTCATTAAAGGGTTGGGAAGTGTTCATTAATGAATAAGAGAGCATTTCATACATTTCAAAATTAATTTAAAGTATAATTTACATTATGTACGTTTTTAATTATAATTTGGGAGTAAATAAAAGGGAGTATTTTGTATTTTAATCATTTTGTCCTAGGTTTGTTTAAAATTTGTATTATTGGTCCTATTAAAAAATATGTCCAATAATATTATTATAAACTTAAAAACAATAGATAATATAATTAACAATAAATGTTTAACTATTCTAAGTCTAATCTAAGATTTATCAACAATTTTCTAATGTAATATAGTTATCATAAATAATAGTTTTAATATATTTATTTGTGTACTATAAATCTAATGCGATGTACATATAGCTATGGTTTTGTTTTTTACAAATGCAAATTAAATATTAAATTTTTGGAGGGTCTTGATAATTTATYATTACACCCTCATCACTGGATATTTGATTTCGACCAATATTTAATTTACTCGTARGTACTAGGTACTAGGCATAAGTACCTATTATATGAGTTTAYAGTATTCTTTATTCTTCCGTTTTCGGGTTTTCCGTTCTCACAAGCGATCAGATTTTGACAAATATATTATTCATAATATATTAGTTAATAAAACAAAAAAATTTGCTTTCGACTATCATTTACTTTCTACCAGTTAAAGATAATTCCTTTTTTATTTATATAATATTATACTTAGGTATAGTATATAAAAAACGAAAAAAAATTGTAAAAATAAAATTATGTTGAAACAATTAAAATTTGATAAATGAAAAAAATCTTTTATCTTTACCTGTATTTATTCTAAGACCTCTTATATATTTTCTTCTTAAAAATGTTTTCTACAATCTACCTTATAAGTTATAATAAATAATTACTTAGATATTATTTTTTTTATCATAGTGTTATATACGTATATTAATTTAAACTATAAAGTATATAAATAATTATAACTATAGTAAAAAAAACTTTAAAAAAATAATTTTTAATTTTTAATTAAATTGTTTAATATAGATTTCACAATAGATTATAGACTTATTAGTGTGTATGCTTAATGAATATTTACGCAGTATTGATTTAATATCGTATTGCCTTAAAAAGCTGAGCTTTGAGTGTATGTATCCAGTGAAATATTATCAATGCCTATTACACATACATCTACACATACCTGATAAATTGCCGGTGGTATCCATAGAAGTTCTCCATTTGGTCGAATGAGCACGTTCGATTTGTAACGAACTTCGTAATTTCCATCAGCACTATGAACAAATATTACAATGTTATAATCTTTTAAAATATAATATGTTTTCATCCTATTTGGAAAATTTGAGAAATCATTGTTGTCTAATCGTTTATTTTTCTAGTCTTCTAGGTTATAATCATAAATGGTTTTATTTTAGAGTTACTAGTTAGTAGTCTAAACACAAAACTTGTCGGTTCTTTTGGGCTTGTACACGCCATTTGTTTTGAAACTTTTGGATACAAATTAATCCGTTTAATTGCCATTGTAATCCGTTCATACCCGCTGCGTACCGTGTACGTCGAAATAACTTTTACTCACTTGTTGAACAACACTATATCCGGCTTCCACACTTTGTCTGGTGGTAACCTGAGCACCTGTATACCACCATAATCTGCCTCGTCCCATTGTAATTGATAGTCCCTCCATACCTATAACAAAAGAAACATAGAAAACTGTTAAATAAAGCCTACAAGTAATGGTTAACCATCATGTCAGACAAACTGAAGAATATAAATTAATGAAGGAGAATTTCATGAACATAAAATGTTCTAATAGTTATTTATATCATATRATATAAAATTATTTTTTCTGTAAGCCCAATGGCTTATGTTGCCGAAGGTATAATATTATGTAATAATAAAAACAAAATTACAATAATAAACTATGAAATATGAATATTAATTTTTTTTTTTTAACTAACAGCAGTACATACAATTATATGATTAAGAAAATATTATATGATATGTCTAAACACTGTATTTATAATTATTAATCATTATTTAATATTCTGAGATAAACAAGAAAGTCGTTAGACGTTTGGATTATTGTAAGATGTATACTGTTTTGTATTTAAGTATGTTCCGCACTAAAATATAACTTATAGATTAATCTACAAGTCTACAAAGTTCAAAGCGTATGATTCAATGTCAACAATAATTGCTTATATTGAAGATATAGAACTTTTTAATTTATGCCGTTATAAAAATAAATTGAAAAATTGATCGAATATCGTATCATTCATAATCATTCCAGTTTTCAAGTTTTAAAATTTAAATTTAATTTAAAATTCTTGGGAAAATAGTTTTAGAAAATTATAGGTTAGAAACTTATTTGATCCGGTCAAAAGTTTGTTTTACTAGCAAATATATATTCAGTACTCTAGAGAGTTTGATATACATAAGTGTAATATTGTTCGAAGCAAAGTCTTTGAGGAAATTTATTTTCTATACACCATTAACGTATCATAGATTTTCAATATTTAGTTTTTTAAAAATCTTAATTAAAATAATAAATTAACATTTTTATTAACTTTATATTTTTAGATTAAATAATTGATATTATTATTTATTTAACAGTTATAGTCTAATCTCTTATAGTTAAAATATTAAAATGTTTTTATAACTTCACAACATGCATATATTTGAAATGATAGTTATGTATTACTATTGTTATATTATAATTAAAATAAATAAATTACACTTAATTAGGTACTTACTCCTTAATTACACTTAAATGATTAGGTATATTTTGTATAATACTGTGCAGTATTTATAATATGACTTAATATTGACACTTATTATTTGTTATATCATGTATAGAACTTGAAAACTTTGAATTTTCAATTTTGAAATACTTTTAAATTTAAATTAATCAACTAAAAAACTTTTCTTGAGATTGAATTAATTTTAACGTAAATTTAAGATGTAGTAAAGACCTTCTAAAAAAAATGTAAAAACAGTAAAAAAAATTTTTTAAATATGTTTTTTTCATTAAATGTTTATAAAAAACTGTTTAGTTGACAAAACCACCCAATAGTGCAATTTAAATTTTATCAATAAAATCTAATTGATTTAATTAGTATTTATTTATATTTTAAACATTGGTAAATTTTTCTTCCATTTAAATATATGAGTTTAGAATCCCTAAAAAATGTGATTTATGTATTAAAGTTTTAACTACCATTGTAAAAAATCGATTGAGTGTTGGTAAAAATGTTATGCAATTGTGCGCTATCAATTTTTATTTTATCAAACATTATAGAGCTAAAATGGTTTTTTTCTTAAGTCTGTAAATTATAAGGACGTTTATTGCTTGTAAGTAATCTTTTGAGAATTACTCAATTCCACGTGATTGTTGTTTGGGTGTTCAGTGGTGCATATTCTATATAACCTTGTATTCTCACGAGATTTAACTACGCGTAAAATGGGATTCCAAAATTATTGTGATATACCGATTTTTTCATTATGTACAAAAATATTGTTTATTTGTAGTATAAACATAATTAGATTGATTATTTCCTAATAATAAATACTTATTATTGATAATGGTTTAAGAAAATGAACACAGGTTCAACGTTAAACTAAGCATTATCTTTTTTTTTAATTTCCAAATTTGTAAGAAATTAAGCAAATCCATTATTTTTTAAATACAAAATTATTTTACACTAATCTATACTTATAACCTTTTTTACGAGTAGAATATGTTTATTATTTATTATTATATCTCACGTGTAAGATATTTTTCTTTCAAACGCCAGTTTATTTATTTTTAAACAGATAATGTATAATCTTAGCAATGTTTAAAACATAATATAATATAGTTCGTGTTCTTATGTTATGGTACGAACAAGGAACACAAAATTTATATTTTCTCTAATTAATTGAACAAAGATTGACACGAACAATACATGGCCTACTGACATCATCGTTGCATTTACGTATATTAATAATAATAATTGTTATTGTTATAATTATAATTATAATTTATTTTAATATTATATAATATTATTTATTAGTTGTATTAGGTGATGCCAAAAAGTCTTAAATATATTTTTATCCTGTGTTTGGCCTAATTTGGATCAAGAATGATTAAACATTTTGCACACTTTTTTTCTTAGCTTCAAAGTTTACAGTTTAAGAGCCTATAATGCATAAATCATATCGTACTTATCATATATTATTATACACTAAAAAGTAACATTAATAAACCATATCAAAATATAAAATTAATTTATTAATTTTCATTTTTCATATATTTAGGATTGTATTAGCTTACATAACACAATTTTGAAAAATAAGATCTAGGCTCATAGTTTTATTTAATTTAATAAATTATTTTAAATAAATATAATCGTTATTTTAATTCTAATTAAAATTACATTATACGAAATTTCTTCAACATTGATGACTTGTATTTAGAGGAACGAGGATGATTACTAAATACCTTAATATAATATATGAAATCAGCTGCGGATTGGCACACTGGAATACCGGAAAATGTCTTGGATTACCAAATTATTTGATAATATTTATCTACGTATCTACGCTGCTTATTGTAAATATTAATACCACGATTTTGGATGTCATTTTGGCTGTACTAAGTATATTAGATATAGTAGGTATAGTACATTATTATGAGTTTATTAATTCTGAATCCGTCAACATACTTATAAAATATGTTTTGATATATTTTGAGTGGACCGATGAATGTATTGATTTTATAATGGCGTATAAAAAAAATTATGAAAATTATAAAAAATTATAAAAAAAAAATTATGACTGTTGTCATTTTTTGAGCCTTTGRTTTTCTATTTCATTATCCATTCTGGTAGAAAAATGAATCTATTTTTGATAATTTGGGTGGTCATAAAAACAAGTTACATACTATTATTTATGTTAAAAGTATATAATTATAAAATATAAACAAGACAATAATCCTCCCCCCATACCACAAAAAAGGAAAATGTTTATGGAAAATTAACTATTATTAATTATTATAATTTAATGGGTGAGACTGTCAAACGGTAATTTCCTGTGCCGAAATATTTAGCCAATCCGCCGTTGAATGATAATCACTCATTATTAATCTTATTGATCACTTAGTTAAACTTTTTAGTTTTAAAATTTTAAGTCTTTAAATTATAACAAAAATGGTATCACTGTAAAAAAAAGCAGCCAATCAGTGTTCTTTTTTTACATTTAAAGTTAATTCTATTGGCCTACTCTGTTGACAAATGTGCATTCCATTGTCTAAAATCTAAATATTTATGACGATTGTAGTGACATTAGTGACAATACAAAATAGTCTTCCGTTATCATCAATCACAGTCATACCTAAAAACATCAACTCACGTTCTACCACTTTTGAAGTCTTGACAAGGAGACTATTGAAAGGTAAGAACTTGAATGTTATTTATTGTCTTATTTCTGCTAAAATTTAAGCATGAGTCATGAAAATAAGAACTACTACCTAACCAAATATAGAAGAAAAAAAAATGTTATTATTTATTATGAAAATACCTTTATATGCAGATAGGTATATATATAATACTGAAAATAAAAAAYTTAAAAATTGATAACAATTTTTTTCGAAATATTCAATATACCCAATTTGTAAATCTGATTTTTAGAAAAATTGATATAGTAAAAACACTTATTTAAGTCAAATGACTGATTTTTCACAATTTTTTTAAATATCAATATTTTCGTTAAGTAAATAATAATAGATTTATAGATAATATTTGATTTTATGTTATACCCATGCAAATAACATAAAATCAAATTGCTATAACTCGGTCATTTTTTGACTTAGAAAAGAAATTCAACCACTAAAATTCATTAAAAAATACCAAAAAAAATAATTTGTGGTCAAAAATGGATCTTGATATTTAAAAAAAAAAATTGTTGTGTGCATGCGCAAGATTAACTGTCAAAAAAATAGTCTAATTATTTGAAAATGTGTATAATAATGTTTATTAGTTAGCCGAAAAAGCAGAATTGAAATATATGAAGTTTACACAATATAGTTATTGAGTGTTTCCACTTATCATGATCACACTGTATATATAATTAGAGATTATTTGCAAGATATAAATTTTGACAGTAAAATAATAATTACCATTATACCTACTTCAAATAAGAATTTCAAAAGAAATAATTTTAAATTGTATTAATTGATATTTGTACGTTATTTATAAATTCAATCGAATTGATTATTATTTATTTGTATAGTATATAAAATTATAACCCAATGGCCTATGTCACCGAGGGTAATTTTGTGTTAATAATAAAAAWAAAAAAAATGTTAATATAAAACTAAAATGATTTTTAATTATCATTGTTAAAACTATATATATTATATTTTATTTTTTATTGAAATTAAAAAAATATGAAATTATGTTGGTATTTTATTTTTTATTTCAGATAATTTTTTTAAAACGTATTTATAATTATTGAATACCTAGCAAACTGGCGTATTGTCCGTCAGAAATCTCACAAAGCGATTTCAATAGTTCATGCATATTTTAGCAAGCTTAAGTATATGCAATTATGTATTTATTTAGTCTAAGATTACGTATATAGTTAATTTTAGCAAAAAATTATAACATGTTTGATTTTCAAATAATACATTTTAGGTTTTATAGTTTTATTTAACTTATCTTAAKGGCGAACTGGGAGGTAAACGGTCCAGCATTCTACAACAATAAATGGCTCAATGAAAAAAGTTTTTCGGGAAGTTTACCAAATATATTATTAAAATATTTCTACTTGTTCAGATGCCCATGGTGACCCATATATTGAGTTTGCTCGGTGTGCTACACTAGTAAACCTGGCCAGTCCACCTCTGATTTATCTTGACTTCAGGTGCACTGCAGTTATGATKTTATGAAGTTATAATAAATATTATTTTTTTTGGATTTGTGAACACAATATCAAACAAAGTTTAGTTACTATATTGTACCTTCAGTAGGTTAAATCTTATTTTTATATTTTGATGCTCTTGAAGTATGAATAATTTATAAAAAAAATGAATTACATAATCACCATATGTAATTGAATTATATTACCTATCTTGCAGTATTTGTTTTTGCTATTTGGAGAAGAATCATATAAAAAATTAGTACTGTGACAGTGAACACTTTGTACAAAAACTAACTAGTAATAAAATAAATATGAAATTAACTAGAATTTATTTTATTTTATGTATTTCTATACCTTGTTGAACCATTAATAATACTCATAAATTTAACCAATGTTAAATCTTTGTTTAGTAGTTCTATTAAAATATGCTTAAGTTATAATTATATTATAAGCCTATTGCTTTAATTATGTATCATCCATAAYAGATTAGGTTAATAACTGTCATATTTGTTTAAGTAATTCTAAGAATCTCATACTCGGTTATTAAAATAAAATAAATGATTGAAWAGGTAGAAAAAAATGCTGTGAAACAAATTATGCTTATATAATTATCATCACTATCACATTTAATTTGTTTTACTCACTTAAACGAAAAGTGGTGTTTTGTGAAAAGAGAACCCTTCAAATGGATRCTTGACTAATTTATAAATTAAAACTGCGTAAACGTTTTCAAATGATCCGCARTGAAAAATAATTTWAAAAAAAAATAAATAATTATAACGGATATTGAAATGGAACGACGCCAATTACGTTGATTAATTTAAGAAAATGATAAACGAACGATCTGCCGTCAAGCAAATATTAAAGCGAAAAATTGCCGAGTAGATATACAATTTAAGCGGCACTTGTCATTTATACGGTCAGGAAGTCTAATACGTCGGAAAAAAGCTGTTTATTCTTTAATTGCCTAGCGTATAAACTGAAAATAAATAAATATATATATATTAATTAAGTTACTCACAAGTCTCAACCAAACGTTTGATTTCATTATTTGACTCTTTTCATTCTGAAACAATTAAGACATATTATTTAATTAGACATTGTAATAGTTGGAAATAAATCAAAACTAATTAATAGCTTGTTATTTCATTTTGATGAGTTGATTTATTAAATTTCCTTAGCTTTATTCTAATATAAATTAGACAAATAGTTCTGTAAATATTATTCTAATGTTCTTTTAGTATATTTGTATGTTTTAAATGAAGTCATATGGAATTCATAACATACGCTACACAAATTAAAACTCATGAAATAAGACATTTAATTCTGTACAAAAATAATTTTATGTTTAAATTGTTAAATTCTAAAAATCATATTTGCTTTTTAATATCGACAATAATTTATTAATATTACACTCTRTATTAGGGTTTTATTTATTTCGAGAATCTAATTTAGTTTTATATTAGGTACTCGTATTTGGTAGGCACCTACATAAATAATGAAATATTGAATGCATATAAATTATAGTGGAGGAATGRGTATATTTTATTATTGTTATTTCCATACATGTAAATATTATTTTCAGATAGAAAGAATGATATAGAAGTTTARTGTACCTAAACCATTTATAGATTATAGAAAGTAATATAAAAAGGTAAAACTTAGATCATTAAATAGCTTTTATTGTTATTTCTCTGAGGAGCAAAAAAAAGACATCATCGGATCATCGAGTATTTTTGAAGAAATGTCAGTAAGCGTAAACTACAACTTTAGTAGTGRGGTAAACTATTGTTTGATAATACTTKCAATTAAATAAATACTTATCACGCCAGTGGTTTATACCTAACATAACTGTTGTAAAAGAAGTGAGATGAGTGGAAAAAAACCTAATCTATGATGTGGGTATGAGGCTATGGACAAAAATGGGCGTTTTAAGATATTATTAATACCCAAAAATGAATTTATACCCATGCGTATAAAGTTATGCAATACAGTTAAATAAAATATCTATGGATTATAATAAAAATTTATACATACTATTTTATACACTTAATTTTTAAATTGTGTACTAAATAAATCATGAAATTACTAAAATCTGTTATGTTTTTATTATTTGTCAATTCATCTATTACTTCTTTATTATTGGTACCTATCGTGTTTTACTACCATTGTGTGAACCCAGCTTCATAAGTGATCAGACCAATATGATGTGAATATTTATATGTATATAATAATGAAACAAATTATTTTTTATACGAATATTAGAATATGATACGAACAATATTACATTTTTAAGCTTAATAAAAACATTGTACCGTAAAACCTGATGAAAAAAAAAAACAAAAAGGTCATGGATATATCTTATCACCCGTATCTTTCTTCGTATATTTATTACATTATATCGTTATCTTCTACTGAGGAGAGGTTAGCGAGATAATTATCCAAAAACCAAGCTCTGTATCTTGTCAGACTGTTTTTTTAGTTTATTTACTGATAGACTATATAAGTGTAGTATAAATATGTTGTATTTTGCAATATTTTTTATTTGCAGAAAGGTCATTTGCACTACTAACCAATATATTAAGTAATTAAATTTTATATTTTTGAGTATGGTTAATTTTTTTTTTTCAGTAAAATTGCATATTGAATTTTAATTATTGGCGAAATCTAACGAATTTTTATAATTCGTTATGAAATATAAGGTAAAGGTAGTATCTAATAAAAGTTTGCTTTAAATTATGACCTAGCTTAACCGGTAGAAATTGTTAATTTTAAAATGTTTAAATACGTGCATATCAATATATTATACAACTTGTGAATATTTGAGTTTGCAGTGAGTGATGTAAAAATGGCGTACGACAGAAAGTAATTTACATTTTATAATTTAATATACTTTAAGGACCATTTAATATTGTTCCTGAATTTCGTAAATTCTACTGTTAAATCTGACTTGATATTAAATTTAATAAAAGTGAATGATACAATTTKTTTTTATACTTACTTCATATTTTAGTATTTTGCCGCTATATTATAATTAAATGAACCATTTTATTTGAATAGATTATTTGAATTTTATATTTTAGCATTTTAACATATTTTAACAGAATWATATGCATATATTTATATTTYAAATTTAATATTATTATAAGGAACCCAACACTGTTTATAAATAATGTTAAAATCAAACGCATAAATAATATTAGATRTRTTATACAAATAATTAATATAATATATATTGTAACATACCACATTGATGAGTTGAACGAATGCTAAACCAAACTGTACATTGACTTTTTCRGTCATGTTCTGGACTGGCCTGATTAGTTTGTTGTAGCCCCTGAAAAGATCTCTAACCAGACGCTCCTCGTCTTCTGAACACCAACAACCTTGGGAACACAAAAAAAAAAATACAGATGTTATACGATGTTGTTTTTTAAGAAATATGCACACACAATAATAGTCTTTAGCTGTAGTAAAAGAGACTTAGGTTTCTCGAGAGATGTTAATCTTTTTCTCTGTTGGCTTAAGTTTTTTATTATTATTATTATTTTTATTAAAAGTAAATGGTTAGAGAAAAATAAATTTAAATATAAAAACTAATCCGGCGAGCACGTCTTGCCGAGTGGATAACGAACGACCTGGATGTCTGAAGATACGAAAGCACCGGCTGGAAAAAAACAGATAATAATAATAACACCGTTGAAAACCCATTCGGTCGGTTGAGCTTTGTCTACCGGCAAGTATAGGAAAACAAAAACCACAAGCAGAGAAAACTTGGTACAGAATGAAAATACATACACAAAATAATATTGTATGTACAGAGAGCGAGTAATTGGCTTGGAAAGTCATTCTACTTTCCAGTATTTTTTTCGTTCAGAACTGGCTCATTTTTTCATAAATCAACACAATATATTATAATACCTTAAAAATTCACTAAATTAAAAATAATCAAGACAGTAATTAAAAATTTTCGTTATGCCATTGATTTAGTGTTACATGATTTATTAATTTTTTTGTAAGGGAAATAAATATATTTATCGCAAAAATATATTATATTCCACTGTAACACGATATAATAAAATTCAAAACAAATCCTGAAAATATAAGTAATACCGATGTAAATAAAATTCGTTTTTTGAAACATAAATAGGTTTTTCTATATGAATAAAAAAAGAGGATTATATGGTCCATTGGTCAGACTGCTCTATGGTTCCATCTTAATATTTTAGGACTGTTTTAATTGTATTTATATTATAGATTTATGTTTTAGTACAGTAACATCTATGTTTGGCATGATTATAATTTGGGGAATTTTATTATTTTCAAGTTAACCGTGATTTGTATTGATAATAGCTGACATTAGTGCATCTATATTACTCATACGTAATAAAACACAATCATTCTTGTTTATAAACACATTTGTACTTTGGACCTAATGTAGTTTGTGTAGCTTAAATCAGGTTAAAACCTGGTTAAATATATCTATGAATAAGATAGGAATGAATCAAACATGACTTTTCTATTGGCAATCTAATATAAAGTGTTTTTCCATTATTCGAACGGTTTGAAAACGAAAACGAATGTGAATAAAATTGATGAGGTCATATAGAAATAATGCTCTCTACGTGATCCGTCTAAAGCCGCGTTGTTCGGTTAGACCAAATCCTATACACCAGAATAAAACTGCAAAAAGTAGGTAAGTATACTCTCTTTTCGGTTTTATCGTGGACGTCCAATTTCTTTTCACATATGTTTCTATCTTAGACCGATTGACACACCAAAAAATAGTGGTTGGTATTATGGTAACCTCAAGTTTGTAAAAAAAATCTGGACAGAACAATAGTCAATAACATTATTTCATATCTTATTTTCAGATCGGTTATCTCGGTACTGGGTTTTTTGGAGCTAGAGCATTGGGTTATCATRTTAAATTTAAAACGATTCTTAGAAAAACTTGGTTAACATAAAATTGTTGAAACTTCCTAAACGTTTGCTGATACGTATTTCTTCAACATCCTCTTAACCATTGTTGGTAAATTTTCTTAGAAAAAGAAACTATTTGGTAAAAGAAAAATGGTCTTCCTAAATTATTATTGAATTTCAACCTAAAAAAGTTAGGTACTGGAACTTAATGTAATGTATGTTAAAATATAAATCGTTAAAGTGATTTTTTTTTTTAAGCGAGGAAAGTTTGTCGAATTTTGAATTTGTATAATAAAAATATGGTCATCTTATTCATCTTAATATGAATTTTTTTTATTTATTTAGAAGAATATATTAAAATTTATTTTTACAATAATCAGTCAGTATGATGACAAAATTTTATTTATATGACATTAAGGAGATAAGAAAAAGAAGGCCCTCAGTAGTGCCACCTGACAAGAAACATTAAGTTAATTATTTGGTATAGTTTTAATTTTTTTTTTTTTGTGTTTATGCTTTGAGCATGTCTCGGGGCCACAGCCTTTTTAGTCTTTTGGGAGCGTTGTTGCAGAGGATAATTTTTGGACTAAAGGGTTGTAATGAGTGTGGAGTTTGAAAAAGAATTTGGTATAATGGGATTTGGCCAAATCGTTAAGGGTAGGTAGATTTAAATCTTTGTGAAGATTTTTATTTGTTACGTACCAGGGGTACTGTAAACGCACAGATTTCGATGCCTTTAAATTCGTAAAGGTCTGTATAATTTTAAAACAATTGTAAAATATTCATAATTTCATATCATTATATAATTAAATACATTATACTATTACACATCGTTTAAATATAGAACGAATAAATCTGGAAGTGGTCTATCTATTCTATCGACTATCGTGAAGAAGTGTCGGCCAAAAATTTATGAAAAGTGAACGATGGATGACACGTAAATCCTACGACTGCGAAAGACAAACATTATTAACGACGATGACGGTCTGGCCAATAAAAAAAATCTGAACCGAAATTTAAAAAAAAATAAAATAAAATCACCGATTGGAAACGTTAAAAATGTATCACTCGATGGGGATAATCAGTAATAAAAGTAATATAAGCCATGGTAATTTGTTGGCCAACACGAAAACTTGAGTGACTGAACACGACTATAGAGGCGCATTTTGATGATATGTAAAAATATGTATAGACTATGACGTGTAGGTAATCGTATTAGAATCTGTTTGAATAAATATCGTCCATACTGCAACTTATCTGTTCTTATTTGACTATTGTTTCATCCACCCGAAATCTTAAACACATAACATGTGCTTTTATTTTAGATATTAATATTATATAAATATTTTTTCCAATTAATATACTCTAAGATAATGTCACAGTATTTTAAAAATCGAATACAAATACAAATCATATGAACAACTAATAAAAATAATATAGAGTTATTAAGCGTACTTACACGTTCATTATTTGTATTTCTTAAATATAATTCCTTAATTATCTAGTTTTACCAGTTTTTATGTAATAAGTATATAAAATTGATAAGMCCAAGTTAAGTTAGATTTTTGAATATATCAATATTTTGAAAAAGTAAAAGTCTCAAGATCGTAGCACAACATCAAAAATATATGATTACCTACTAAAACAATTATATTTTTTTAACATTCTTAGTTCATTTTGTACTCTAATGTTTAACTACAAATAGAAATCATAATATTT